AAGGTACAATTAAGGAAAAAAAAAAAAGAAAAGAAAAGATTGTTTAAATGTGCTAAAGGTAAAATACAGCAAACTGTATTTTTTGTCCTTAAACTATCATAAAAAGTAACTTCAGAGTTTACTTAAATCACTGCTTAGTTGTCTTTTAAAAAGAAAAAATAAAGAAAAAGAAGTTGTCATTTTATAAACTAGAGACTATATGCAAGAACAGTTTATTCCAGAGTAGTACATAAATCCTCTGGCCAACAAGTAAGCAGTTAGTAAAGAAACCATATCTCCTGCAGCAGAAAATGCTCTGTAAGGAACAGTGTAAGGAATAGTGAGAATAAGATCTCACCAAAACTAAAATTAATCTTGCAGTGAGTCAATGTTGTCCCTCTGCAGATGGTAAGTGCTGTAGCCACAGCTCCCTCTCAGATAAGGAGCCCTAAGTGTTACACTGATCTTACTGTTGCTTTTACCCCTTATCTAGGGGTAAACTACCACAATTTATATTAACTTAAAGTTTTGGAAAGCTCCCCAAGTTTTTGCAGTATTTTTCACTGGTATTTCTGTTTCCCTATAGTACACACACAAAGAGGATGTTGTGCATAATCAAGTTACCAGCCCAAATGTTTCCAGTTTAGAAGTGATTCATTTTCAAATTCTTATTAATGTTTGCTGGATGTCAGAAATGGCAGTATCTTCTGATGTGTACATGGTCATGCAGTGTCCCAGCCTCCATAGATAAAGCCTTCTGGGAGAGAATTTGCAACTGCCTTTTGCAGATTGTACTACCAAGTACGTTAGCTATCATACAACTTACATCTTTGAACTTATGCTTCATTTGGAGCATTTCCATTAGAAACTCTGTACCTTTATCCACTTAGTCTATGCCTGTTTGTCAGTTTATACCTAGAAGAATACCACTGAAAGCCAGTGGCATTGAATTTCTATCTTTGACAGTGTCTCAGGCCATATAAAGCAATACTGCAATCCAAACAACCAAATTTAAAGTCATTTTTATGTCTAGTTTCTCTCAGGGTTTCAAAAGCAGAAGAGAAAAAAAATTATACAAATGCACCTAAGTCAGCTGTGTTTTTGCTTGGGATGCTTTTGTTGGATTAAAGACCTGAGACTGTTGACTATGGATAAAAGGGTAATCCAGAAAACACCCAAAAGTACTTGTAACACTTAAAAGGATAATCTTATCCTCTTTGAAAAGCATTTTCAGGCATGTTCTCTCCACCCTGAAAAAAACACCTCACCAACAAAAACCAGCGCCAGTTTGCTCAGCCAAGAGAGCTCGTAAAGGTGAAGAGCACTTCTCATGGGATATAAAATGTGAATTATATTGGAAAATAAACTCTAGATTATGTTTGGCATTCCTAGACCATATACCAGCAACAGATGTTCTGTCCTGAAAATGATATAATTTTGACAGCATTACAGCAACTCCTTAAATAAATTACTGAGTTATTGTCAAAGTAGTACTGATAATTTTTTTTTTTTTTTAGGAAATACAATTTAACTCTAACCAATTAATTGCAAATTTGCATTATTTTTCTTCTAGCTGTGAAATCAAATTGTAGTTGGGTTTTAGTCTTTTCTGTAGAGTTCCTGTATTGTTGCTGTTGCTGCAGTCACTGTTCTTAACTGTTAGACTTAATTTTTAGATGAGAATGTTGAATGAAATTCCACCTCCACTACAGTCAAGAAATTTGCAGCTAACTTCAGTGGGGCAGGAATTCTGTCCCTGGAATCACACTCATGCTGCCACTTGCCCACAGGAAGGTGAGAGGGACAGGAAGAAGAAACCTTGTGAGGCAGCAAGATCTCTTCATTGGGCATCCTGTGGTCTCTTTGAACTTAATCCCTTCAACCTCAACTATACGCAACAGGTTTTGGAGATAGGGTTGTGGGGGCAAAGAAGAGGAGGTGAGAACTGGACATACCTATTGACATTATTCCTGGGGAAGGCTCTCACAAGTTGACTTTGTTCCCTTGCTTGGGATCTGCCTGTGATTCTGCATTCGTGAGAAACCCAGTGGGTTTCTGATGCAGAGAAATTAAAACATCAGAGAGCTGAGAGAAGCACAGGAATGATGAGTCTTCATGACTGGGAAAATCAAGCTGTGGATTTTGACAGATTGTTCTCCATTATCTACAATATGAAACTCATCACAGAAAACCTGGATGAGAAGTTTGCCTTATGTTTTTATAAGGGACAGTCTACTGATGTGATTCATATCTGAAAAAAAAATTTATTCATAGGGAAAAGTACTTGTCATTAATTTAATATTTTTTGTAAATGATGTTGTCAAAAATCCAGTTTCACTCTCTAGGAAAGCGTGGAGAATCTTCTCTGAAACAGTATCAGGGGCATTTCTGCATGCCAAATATTGGTGTTTTCAGAATGATGACTGGGACAGGGCTAAAGAAATTGTACAGCTTATTTCTCTGAATTTGCTTCATGAAGGAAGGACAGGTCAATGTATGAGCAGGCATTATGTGACTTGTAAAGCATGCCCAAATCAGCCTGTCTGTTCCAAACTTATTTCGGAATTCATGTGAAAGCTGCCTCCTTTCTTGCCCCTTTCCTGATGGAAGTATCAGCATTAAAGCTACTGACTTGAATTCTGAGCCTAACCATATCCCCTGAAACTCCAGATAAGTTAATGGAGCTGCAGAGGGAAACAGATAGAAGAAATAATAGAATTTTGCCAAAGGCTTTTGTGCATGCCATCATAGGACCTTCGTACAACTCTGACAGAAGTCAAGAAACTGAAGGAGAGGGATTAAAATTTTTTTCCAAATCTCCACTGAAATTCTTGTTTGTATGGAATCATATGTACCTGAAGAGTTATGTTGCTGTGGGTCCAGTATCATCTAATTTCCTAAGAAACAGTGGGTTTATATCAAAACAGGTCATAAGTAGACACAACCTTGCAACATGGACCTTTCAGTTGAATCTGATAGCCTGGAGCAAAATCTAGTAACTTGATATATCAAGCCAAATTCAGTGTCTGATTCTAAGCCATTTAAATACCACAGAGCTCAGCTTATTATATTGGTTTATGTAACTCCTTTTAGTAGCTCTGAACCCAGAAACTGCAACTAGGAGTTCATTTTCATTCACATATAGAGCACAGAAGTTGCAAGTTGCCTCAGGTCATTTTTTATCACCAGGTCCAACAGTGAGTAAAGGGAAATTACGATGATACTGCAGCTAGCTGAGGTGATTGAAATGGCCAATTTGGCAGGATTTTAAATTCAGCTACTGAGAAACACATAAAGATGCCCCTTATCTGTGGGATGCAAGTACTGGCAAACTGGGAAAAGTCTGGGAGTTTGTCATTGCTCTGTGTGATTGGGCACGTAAGACGAGGCAGTGGGACAAAAAAGAGTGTATGACTTGCCTTGCACTTCACAAAGGTGGGAGGTAGGTGACTCAGTGCACTGCACTCGGCTTCTTACCATATGATACCTACACACACTGAGCAAAAGTAGAGAACAGTGGCCAAAAAAAACTCTGTTTTCTACTCTGTGTTCCAGCTCTACAGAGATTGGATTGCTAGTTCTTTTTTATCCATAGATGTGTTATCGTCTCTAACTTGGATGCAACTCTACAGAGAAACTCTGTGTTGACTTCTTATTTACAGTGAAATCCCAGCTCCCGCCATACAGAAAACCAGCATCGCACTGGTACTCTTTGCAGCAGTGCAAAGGGTTCATGCTAGCTCTCTGCAGAGAGGTCATTTTTTCTTATCTCTCTACAGTTCCTCTGTCGCATCAGACATAACAAACTAGAAAAAGTGGACAGTACTGTGAAAAAGAACCCTAATTACTAACTGAAAAAAGTCAGATATGAATTTAAAAAAATTTACATGTGAAGTTCTGCACTAATATTTCCCAAGGAAATTCCACCATTCCACTGGGACATGGAAAAACAGACAGCATCACTCTCATTTTCCTGGCCAAAGCAGTTGTATAATAACAGTCATGACCAAACCCAAGAAAATGAGAACAACTACAAGGATACTGCAACACCACTCATCTTATCCCAGTCCATTGATTATAGTTTGATCTAGAGATTCTATAGACTGATCTATCCTGAAATTCAGTTACTTTGGTACGTATTTGTAGCTTGAAACAGGTCTTCAATGGCAAGCACAGCAGCAAACAAACACTGATTTATAGATCTGATATCTTGGATTTCTAAGTTTAAGTAACAGATTTTCCCAGATCAACATTTTCCTTCATCGTACCTTAACAGACAGTTAAATTGCCCCTCCTAGGATATAAGACAAACTTCTTTTTAAACTGAAGGACAGAATACATCATTACCGCTACAGTCCTGTAACACAGTTCTTCTTTGGAACTGACAAGTGTTTTGTGAAAGAAACAGAGAAAGAGAGAAATTAAAAAAGACTTAATAATTTTCTCTTTGGGATTATAGTGGCAACTAAGAAATACTGTGTTTGGTGAATAGAAGTCAGTCTTTTAAAAAAGGGCAGTGGCCTTCTCCACTTTGTCCCATTCCCAGCAAATGTGGGTTAAAATAGCCTAAAACATGCTCTAAGTTATAGCAATACATTTTTTTCTGTTTAGATGCTCATCAGTAACAAGAAGAGATGAAAATGAGTAAGAGTATTGCCTTTTTCAGAATCTTCTAGCATATGAAAAAAGACCTATACAGAGTTATTTTGTACACTGCTGCATAAAAGTAATCTCTTTCCATTAGGTATAATGCACCTTTGGAACAAGCTGCACGCAACCAAAAATCCTGGGAACTTTGGGATCCATTTTGGCTGTGTTACACATAGATCTGTGAGCAGCTCCAAGCTGCATGCTCTTTTCTTGTGATCCCTCAACAGAGGAATCTATATCCATAATGCATTTTCTTAGCTGGTTTTTTACGAGTTCAGCACTCCCGCCACAGGCCTTTCAGGAAGGTCCCTTGTATTTGTCATACCAAAGTTGAACATTTAAAATTTTGTGTTTCTCTTGTTTTATGTCAGTCATACAAACGGCGTCATCACTGCAGAGGAGTGACGCAGTCCCTGGATAGCTGCATAAGGACCCTGCTGAAAATAATGGTGGTACCTAGGCATGTGGAAGGAAGGGAAAGTGGGGCCACTACCTTGCATGGAGGTGGCTATAGCAGAGGGTGTAAGAGGCATTCCCAGGCGGCTGTACGGAGGCAGAGATCCTTGGATTGGGTGAGGAATGGGTGTAGCTATGGATGCAGTGCTGGTACCCAGGGCACTCAAAGACTGTGGATGCTGAAATCCAGGAAAACTGGTTGAGGAGGAAACCCAGGAGCTGAGGGACAGGTTATCAGATGTTGTAAAGGCTGACCCTGCAAGCAAAGAGAGAGAATGCCTGATATTTGCACTGCAACACACAAAGCTAGTAAAACAGCAAAAAAGGGAGAAAGAGTCTTTCACAGCAAGGCTAATTTTAATGACAAGTTGTCATTGGAAATACTTCCAATGTGATCACTAAAGAATGAAGAATCTACTCTGACATGGAACCTCACTGCATTACATCCCTTTTTTGAAGACATGCTTGTAGCTCTTTACATCAGATCCTCCGTAGAACTGGTTTTTTTTTCCTAAAATTTCAGTCTGGCAATAATGCAGAAAAATGTAATTTGCACTACAAGTTTTCCTTTTTTTTTTTAATTTTTTTTTAACCTCAGTAAAACGTGTCAACACTGTGTGTTTCACTCAACATAACTTTTTCCAAAATATAGAACAAAAAATTCTGAAGTGTGAAAACATTTGTTATTTTTCCAACTGTGTCAGTACTGTAAGAAACAACACTAATGCTAAATCGTAGTAAGGGGTGTGGGGTTTTAAGTGAAATGCACAAAAAATATTAAAAACTTGTTCCCAGGGTAAGTATCTACTTTTGATCAAACAGAAGTGGTTTCTTTAGTATTCTTTTAATCTGAAAAGTCCCAAAAATACTTTTTACAAATCATCCACCTCTTTAAAATACTTTCTCTCTTAAGACTGCAAAATCAGAAAAAAGGAAAAAAATTGTATTTTTAAATTAGAACTAATTAGTTATTTTATTTTGACAGTGAATTTTTTGGGAAATCAATGAATAATTTGTTTTTATAATTATATATGACCATTTTTTAATAATCTAGTAATGATGTTGCCCTTCACTTCTGCAGTTCCTCTATGCATCTGATCGTCTGATTTCTAGAAATGGGGAATACAATAAAATTGTATAAATACACTCTTATTTTTTATTCCTATTCAAATAATGATTCAACTCATGTCCCTTCTGTATTCTCTTTCTTGTACAATTTAGTCCATTGAGGAAATGTTTCTTAACTCTAAGAAATAAATTTACTGGCACGAATATTTGGCAAAATGTAATTTCAAGCCTCTATTGCAAAACATTCTGAAAGAACAAATTTTACAAGAGGTATTAGTTTCATAAATCTGATTATAGAAGATAGGTTCATCCAAATTGTGAAAAGAAAACATATGATCACATCTATCTGTCCAAGTAAGCTTATTGGAACATGTATACTGACCAGTCATAGCCACATACTTAGAGACAAACATGAGCAAACAATAGAAAGAAAAATGCAAATTGTTATTTTTAAAAAATCATTATTCTCTTTAGGAATATATTCTCAAATTGGAAAGACTGTTACTCTTGATTAATTCCTCCTCTGCTTAATGAGACAAGTAAAATGTCCCAGTGACAGGAAAAAGAAATTGTGTCAATGGACTTGAACCAAATCCTGACCCCTCCACTAAACCAAACCCTAACAGCTGGGAAATTAGAACCCAGAGCCAAACTATAAGGATAACACCAGATACACAGACCAGAGCAAAACCCTTTACAAATCTGGGGATATCTGAGCATCATTGCATTACAGGGAAAGTAGGATGCAAATCTGGATTTGATGAGAAGGTTTACATTTGGCTCTGGTCCGTGTGGCTACTATGAATCCTCTGTGTGTGGATGGTGGAGCACAGGCACCCAGACGTAACAAATTAAAGAGTTTTAATTGGATTTATATATTTCATATCCATTAATTCCTTAGGAAACAGACTTCTTGTGATAAATATACTACTGAAGGCTAGCCACTTCCATCTTTAGATGGCTGAAATTGGCTGAGATGAGAATGCTCTGGATGTAATTAGAAATAAATAGCAGTGATAGACTTTATTTATTCTACACAGAACAAAGTATGCAATTCGTTCTCATGAGAAACTTCCGTAAGGGTCTTTTCCTTCTCCAACTGCAATGGTCTCTAATTGAAAGAGTACTCCAAAAAACCCTCACATATCACATTTACCAGCACCCAGGAAACGTGTTCTAGTACTTCTGAGTCAGTCAAGGCCATAGAGAGCTTATAACACACACTACCCAGCAGCGTGTATGTATTTGACTGTCAACTTTCATCTGTTGACACCCCTTAATTTTGCATGCAAGGTAGTTTTCAAATGCATCAAAAGAAATAAAAATTTCTGTGGAGTTTCAATAAGATCATTACTTCTCTCCTCATATCTTGGATTTCCTTATTTAAGAACACCAGCCCTAAACAAGAGAGTGAGGGCAGTACAAGTAATCATCTGCAAGAGCAGTGAGTTTTACCCTCTGTGCATGCCTCTGGTTGCCTAAAACCATCATGCCCTATGCCAGCATATGGCTCCCAGGTTAGAAAAACGTTGGCTGTCACACCTCATCTCTCTCACTTACTCCTTTGCCATACTGCAAGCAAATGCAAAACTGTATCCTGTATATATCATACATTAAATTAATTTTAGTAAACTATTCTTTCCTCCTATGACACCTTCCTAGAAATACTGTTCAGAAAAGAAAATCTCTAAGGGACAATTCTCATACTGAGCTTCCCCTTGCTGACTTTACCGTTCCCAAAGGAGGACATTGCATCAGGGAGAAATGTCATTCTTGGAGAGAAGGTGCCTTGCTCTGAGCTCTTCTGGCAAGGGAAAATTTAATGCTGTCTTCAACAATAACTGGCCAAGGATTTAAGCTGACATGAAGTGAGGTAATCCCCCCAGAAGTATGTGAAAGGATGGCATCGCACCAGCTGAGGAGTCGCTCCAGAAACTCCGCAGAAACTCCGCAGTTAAAGGAACTGCTCTTATAGACATATGTATGAACAAGCCCACCTAATAACATTTTGTTGAAGAGCAACTTGTGGTTAAAAATAAGTGTGTTTTCCCTGCACAATTCCAAAGAGCTTATGACCAGAAATAATGCTCTTATCTTAGCAATAGTGTATGAAGTTAGAGGACAAGACAAGGGCACTGCCAGTCAGAAAGCAGATAGAACTGCTTTACCTCAAGTGGCTGTTGCATATCAGGCCGGTCACGGAGTGAACATACAGAGTATAACGCAACACAAGTTTTTGCTAGTCAGCAATCCCACAGGATGGGTTTGAGATCTATTTCTAGTGGCAAATTATGGCAGATGCAATTTGTCCAACGAGTAACACCAGAAAGAACAATTATGCCTTGCTACTACTTTTGTGACTGCTGAAGTAGACAAACCATTTGACAAAGCATTTGAGGTAAATAGCCCAAGCAGGAAAGGCACCTTTTGGACACCTAAAAGGTAACAATTCAACAGCAATTTTCTAGGGAGCTATAAACTTTTCTTCCTGTTGAAGTAAAGAAAGTTAACCACAGGCTGGTTGAAGATGGTCAGAAGCAATCCCTCTGTTTGCAGGCGGCCAGAGGGGCAGCAGATGGTACATCAACACGGTACTTTACAAATGGTGCTGAGCCCCAGCTAGTAAGTCATGCCAAGGGATGGGGAGTGTTACCACACTAATGAAGTTGCCTGTTTTTCAGCCATCGTGAAGAGGAAACTGTTCTGCTGGCAAAGGCTGTATAGACATCTCTAGAGCTGCCTCCTGAACTAGCCACCCACACCAGTGCCATGGGCATATCAGATGTCCAGAAAAGCCAGGAGGTAACAAGTATTCTTCATTATAGCACTTCATGGCAGTGAGACACACCAGAGAAATGCTTCAGAGTAATACAGTACTGGCCGTGGTCCTCCTTTTCTCAAGCATAGCTAGGACACCAGTTTACCTCCTGAGCACATTTGCCTACCTCTGCTTTGTGTTGCCTGGCTGTCATCTCCTAGATCATCTTCTCCTCCATAGGTTCGAATGGGGGATCGGGCATAGGAATGCTTTTGGATAAGGCTCTCCACACTTTCTCTGTGAAATGAAACAAAATACTGTATCAATAACATCCTAAACAGCATTCTAATTCATTAGGTTCAATACAGTGTACATGCTTCCTTTTCTCTGCCCAGATCACAGCTTTCTCACACAGATGCTTCAAAATTATTTAATAAAGGACTACTTCATAGCATGTTGCTGGAAATGCCCTGCAGTGTTTTAACATTGCTGATCACCTCTTACCTGCATGGTACTGCTTCTTCAGCAGATGAATTAGAGTGAACTTCCCACTGTGTTTCCAGTATGTGGTGTCAGATAGGGAATATAAGACCAGAACTCTCCACAAATTTGAAAATGCTGGGGTTATTTGTGCTGAGTGGGCACTCTGGGTTCAAAAAGTCACCATGGTCCTTTCAAACAAGTTTTCCCATCAGACATGACCACCTCATCTGGTGCTCTCCCACTTTTCTGAAATCAGGAGCAAGAGATAGATGTGGCCAGAGACAGCTCAGCTGTAACCATGCTCTCTCAGCATCAGAGTCGAGGCCAGTTTGCAGCAGGAAGTCCACAGATACTAACGATCTCATGCCACATCTATTCTGGGAGGTTAGACATGTCTGCCAGGCCCCCGCCTCACTGGTGGCACCAAGCATTGGAGTCACTCAAACAGTTTTTAAATAGGAGGACATATCTGCATGATAAGCCATAGCAGTTTGCAAGGAAGATCCAACCTTACACATTCCCAGCGTGTTACCATGTAAGTAGGTGGCATTATACCAAAGATGAATATGACCTGGGCACATTTCCGAAGTGGCTTTGACCTTCTGTTCCCATTTAAGAAATCTAGGTAGCAGTACCTGTTTAAATCTGAGGTTCCATGAAGGTTTTGTCTGAATTTACCACGTTCATACTTGCTAATGCCCTTTGCTCAGAGAGCATGGCTACTGCATAAATTCCAGGGAAAAATATTTCCCAAGTAACATGATAAATCACAATAGCACATGTTTTCCTTTCCTACAGAAAACCCATTATGGTCATTTTGTCCTTGGTCTCTCACTGGTATCATTACTTATGCTAGTCTCTTCAGAAAAAAAAATAAATAAAAAGGGGATCTTATCAAAGTGATTCACTTGTGTCAGGACTGGAAGTGGACTGAAAGCAATGGCACTTCCTACATAGAGAATGATATAATTGAATTACTGCCTTTTAAGTGATTGAAAGCAGTAGGCATATTGGGGCTATCTTGAAGAAGATTTTACAAAGAAAAAGACAGATGGCATTGTTCACATTATGTGCTGAATGCCTCCTGAATTTTTTTTAAAGCAGAATGTGAAATGCAAAGAATTTCACTTAAACAAAAAACTATCTCAGATGAGCACAGAATAATGAATTAGACCAGCATTGTCTGAGTGATTTAGATACCAGTCAAACATATTCATAACGAAAGAATTACTAATCTTTAAAGGTCTGAAAAATAAATGTGATTCAGATGATTGTCTGTATTGTTTCTATTGACTTTATTTCTAGCAAAGGTCTACTCATAATGACAGACATTATAGCATGTAATAATATCCTGATGCAACAGAAACAATGCAGGCTCTAGTTTTAGTGCAGTGGGCCAAATTCATCTCTAAAACATTGGATCCAATGGTGGTTTGGGGATAAACTCACCCCAATAAATTTATATTTGGATTACCTACAGGGATTTAAAGCTAAATCAAATGCCCACAATTATTGCAGACTAAATTCTTTCCAGATGGGTTTGTATGCTAGACAGAGAACTCTATTATTCTATATGGTTGTCTTATTTTAAAGGAAAAAGAGATTTGACTTCTTAGTGAACCCTGAATCTGCAAAGTTTGAAACCAGGGAACTGTGCAGTAGGTTTATTTATTTATTTTTTATGTTGTAATGTTGCAGGTACTACGCTAAATGTTTTAAAATATTAATCTGATTCATTGACACAAGCAGCAAAGGTTTTTATTGTGGAGGGAATTGTCTAACAAGGAAACTTGGATCAGGGAAAGCTACTAATTTCACAAAAGAAGTTCCTTTTGTGCAGCTGGGATTTAATATTCAAAACTTGCTTAACCATATTGGTGGTATTACACTATAATCACAACACACCTACTGATTTCTCATTTTAGAGGTTGAGACTGCGATTTACATCATGAGTGTACAGCATTTTGATTGACACTAGAAGTTAGGCACCTGGCCCCCACAGCCTTCAGGTGGACACTCTTCTTTCCACATACAACACATGCTGCACATGCTCAAAACATATCAATGAAATGCAAAAGGCTCAGCAGG